CTCTTTTACTCATACTGGTGAGAAACCCTATCCATGTGATTTTTGTGGACGAAAATTTCTGGATAAAAGTGCTCGTCGAAAGCATTATCAGATTCATACCGGTGAGAAACCATACAGCTGTGAAATCTGTCAGCGAGCCTTTACACAAATTTCACATTTGCGAGAACATCAAGTGACTCACACAAAAGAAAAGGCACATACATGTGTGATGTGTGGTAAAAAGTTTACCACCAAAAGTAGCTTACAAAGACATGTTTTAACACATGCTAATACTTGCGATGTATGTGGCCAAACTTTTACAACAGAAAAGAGGCGGGATCGGCATAGGGAAATGCATAATATAAACCGGCCATTTCCATGCCCAATGTGTGATAAGAGATATGTAACAAAGGCTGATTTAAATTCTCATCGTAAAATTCACACCAATACAAAGACTTGTGTTTGTACAATATGCAAAGCAACTTTTAAAAGTATTAGGTATCTGCGAGTTCATCACAACCACCGTCACAGCAGCATGGGAATTCCATTTCTTTGCACAGTGTGCAATAAAGGATTTTATCAAGAATGCGATTTAGAAAAACATTCCTTGGTTCATAAAAATGAAGACAGACTAAAATGTCTCGACTGTAGTAGAACATATAGCAGTATTCGTTCTCTTCTAAGCCATATTTGCACTGCTAATGGTAAAGTGTTTTTTATTAAACTATATTGTAGAAAGTATCAGCATAAACATTAAAATATTCTTTGAGAAACATATGTGTGAAGGTTTTTCTGAATTTTGTTAAAATGTTATATTAATAGTTTATTTACATGATATTTATTGATATATTTCTTTTAATTATTATGTGATAGAACAGTGATATTCATACTATGGGTCACAATCCCATTTACGATCATGAAAATTTATAGTGAGGTTGCAAGGTGGTTAAAATTTTATAAAAAAGGGTAATTTTTAGGGTATATAACTAAGTGTCAATGCTTTGATTGGGGTTGCAAAATTATTTCGGCATGCCATTTGCATTTTTATGGGTTTATATTGCCATAAGGTTTGAATACCACTGTGATAAAAGCATGTATAGAAGTTATCTAGCCCTTGACATTCTGCAAATTACAGTGACTGAATGCATCCTTCTGTCAAGAGCTTTCTGATAGTCTCTTGTTTCTGTACCAGATGAAAATTTAATAAGCATGAGAAATATCAATTATTTAACTAATTCTTAATTCTAAAGATAACTGCTTGCTAGTTGTATACACACACTCCCATGCTTGCTTTTAACTGGAATGTAAGAAAACATTACAAAGACCTGGGAAATTAAAACAGAAAGCATTTTAATAATTATGTGCTTTTAAAAGGGAGCTAATGCATTTTTTATTGTTTAATTTATTAGTATATATTTATATAATTTAAAGGACTGTTTCTAATTTAAATTCTTCTTTTTTTTTTTTTTAATTTTAACTATGTACTATCTAGATAAAAAAATCCGTTTAATCTTTGGATTATGGTAACTTCGCGATTTTTTGGCGAAAATATTGTAACCAACCCTGCTACAGCAACCTGCTAGTTTTGTTTTGGATGCCATTTTGTTTTCCCGAAGTAAAGGCGCTTTTTTTTTTTTTTCCCTCAACATTTTTTCCCAACAATCTGCTACGCCGAATTACACTTATACTAGAACTTTTATGGAACAAAAATGCTTAATCATGACGAAGATTAGGTGCGAAATTGGGAGAAAGTGTAGAATTGCAAACTGCTTGCCGCGTTTTTAAGAACTGCACATACACAGTATCATCCATGTACACATCGACCTATTTTCACTTAAAAAAAACCTCTCAGAATTGCACAAAAATGGCATTGCGCACACTTTTGACTTTATCCATGTACACTACTAAGTGTACTCTAAGTCCTAGCTAGCAACTTTTATCGCCTTACCAAAATGTCACCAAACTACCTGTTACCATATTCCAAAGATTAGCCAAAAATCCCTTTAAACAAAAAGTGCCATTTAATGAATTTGTAGCTGCATCTTGTCAATCTCTTTTGTAATTATAATATGTTAGCATCAGTATACAATTTAATATATCAGTTAGACATATGCTATTTGTTTGTGAACTGATTCAAAGAACGAGTTTACTTTTCTAACAAGGAAGTACCGATTTGTTAAAAAAAAAGTGGTCATTCTTTTATGTTCACCCACTGAGAGATCTTGTTGCAAACATGTGAGGAAAGCTCAATTCCCATTTTAGAAAAAAGAATATTTATCATCCCATGTTAAAAATGAGCTTAATTTTTATAATTTCCCAACTTTTTTTGCATTCTTTATTCTAAAATTTTATTGTCAATTTTATGTAGAAAGGAGGTTTTAGAGAATTTCAAAAATATGATTGAAAGAAATCAGTTCTAGAAATTAACAGTTTGGGTTTGATATTTACGATCTCTCTGCTCATTCGATTCTTTCTATTCTTTGCTCCATTCTCACACACTGATCTTGACTCACTCCTCATTCTTGATCTTAATTCACCAGATTAATTGTCAGTGAGTGATGAGAGATAAAAAAGAAACAATTTTGTTCAATGAATGAATGTTTCTGATCTGAGCCCATAAAAGAGCAGCTGTGCCCACCTCTAATATTTCAGGCTTTTAAAAAGGAGTGATATATATAATTAGGTCTAAGACAAGTGAAACTTTCAGACTATCTAGATAGCCTGATATTAAGAAACATTGCAATTTATTTTTTTTTCTTCTTCATAAGCTCCACAGCCTATTACAGGCCAAGGCTGTCTCTCCAAACTTCCTTCACCTGACCCCATTCGATGCAGTAGCCTTCCATCGGTGAACTCCAGTTAACCTTAAATGCAGGGCCATGCCTAGCGGGGATGCAGTGCGTAAAAGTATGCGGGCGACAAAATCAAGGACGGACAGACTGACTCTCATGATACCACACCTAAAATATTTTAAATTCATTTTAAATACTTGTCATATGTAGGTACTTTTTATACAATCTGTCATAAGTAAGTACTTAGTGAGTATGAAATAAAAATTTTATTAATTATTGAATTTTTTTTCTTTTTTTTTAAATTTGGGTGTGGCAATTTGATCAAAGTACGCAGGCTCCAATGGCCTATGAATGGATCTGAAAGTTTCCTCAACATCACCTAACCGCAATTTCTTTTTATTTTTATAATAAATCTGAAGGATAAGGGAGATATCTAGGTATTGTTTGTTCGCAAAAATGAAACGGTATTCCAAGTTAGTTGGTTTCAATGAAAACATCAAGAATGTCTATGAATGTCTCAGTAGATATGCATTGTTAAAAGGAATGTATGTGCAGGGCAAAATAATAATAAAGTTGTTATTTTCAAAAAAAAATTTTTTTTAATTTGGCCATAGAATTTTGTAGTTGCATTTTGTATATTTGTATGTGTAGTTAGTTGACAGTTGGATTCTTTTTGTCCCTGCTGATTTCAAGTCCTGGCATTTATTTATATGGACTGGGTTTATAAATAGCTATATCTAAATTCATTTGAAATACTGTCAGACATTTGTGCCAGTTTTGCGGTATGCTAGAGATCTTTTCAAATTTGAAGATAAACCCCACTCTAAGTATTGATCACCTTAAGTGCTACAGTCAGTTATGTATGCTAAGATTTTGAGTGCATATTTCTAACAGATAATTTTTATGGCAGAAAAACATTAGAATAGGTTAAGTTATTTGAATATGACAAAGCACACAAGGGCTACTTACCTAAGGGAAAGAATGACTTTATGGAGAACTTTTTAAGAGGAATTGGATATTTATGTTGCATATAAAGAAAGCTACAAAACTCAACCATGCAATCAACCAATTTGTCTAAATTTGAACCTCTGTCGAACTATTAGTTTTGGGCTGCCATAGCCACTCGGCCATTAGTGGGAGCAAAGCGTTAGTAAAAAAGCATAATTCATAAATTTTATATTTGAAGAAATGCTTCAAATTTGGAATTTTTCATGTTAAGAAACTCATTTTTACATGGCCCCTTAAAATCAATATTTCTGCCATTCACTTTATTGTGTGAAAAAGTGGTATAAGTCACATAATTTTGACAACTCTTTTCAGGGCCATTTCTGCATATTGCAGAACCTGTTCTTTCAGAAAGATTTTTAAGTTCAATAAGGGTTGTCTTATTGAATGCAGTTATAAAAATTTAAATTTCGTGCATTTTTACTAGTTACATTACTGAAACATAAATGGAAAGTGTATTTTGTACTCTTCATTTGTTAAATTGGAACCATAGGTCTAAGGCCAGTTATTTAAGAAATATTTAGCCCAGCAATACTTCTGAAACATTCAAATGTCAGGAAAACATAGTACTTGAAAAAAGTTAAAAAGCCTCCAAAGTCTCAAGTATAGAAGTGCTAAATTTAGAAAGTTGTTAGTATGACACAAGAAATCACCAAAATGTGTTGCAAGCCATTGCTAGACTGCTTGCTGTTCTAACTACGATTACTTCATGTTAAAATGCTTAATGCTTCTAGTTTGACCTGGGTTTAAATTCCAGGGAACATGCTAGCTACACTGGAGCTTCTGAGGTTTAATTTCATGGCTTATTTTTGAGCTGTAAGTATGAGCCAATTTCCCTTGTAATGTTCTGCATGAATACATCCCTTCCTTTAGGCAGATAGCCCATGTAGGTTTTGCTATAATCTAAATAATCCAAACCAGCCTTGTTCGGTGTCTGAAAGAGTATTGCTTGGCAGCATTGTTTTACGCCAAGCAGAGTTTGGCTTTAGTGTAACCCTAAAGTTATTTCGTTTTTGCTTTATTAGTATGAATGATTTCTGACTTGATGTAAGAGCATATGGTTGCTCGCTCTTAGCTAAGTTACATACATCATGGTTGAGTTTATTCTCCTCCAGGCCTCATTCTTTAATGCAAAGACATTAAAAAATATTGACCCTTTCTAGTGAGTAAATCAGCAGACATTTTTAAATATTCATGTTTCTGTACTTTTTTTATGTTTCGTAGGTTGACTCTTCACATGGTGATGCCAGCATAATCTATTCTTTATCGTGGGCACCAGGAGATATGGACTGTCTGGCTGCTGCTACGTCAAAAAGCGGTATATTTATATGGAATCTTAAAAAAGGGAGAATACGAAAACTTGAGGATGTGAGTGACATTTTTTACCTTTTGTATGCGATGCATTTTTCTGCATTTATATCTTGTACACATTTAGAATTTAAATGTTCAAAAATAAAATTTTATAAAACATTATGCTATTAAATGCATTATTTTCTGTCTTGAAATTCTTGTTTATTCCATTCCTAGCTTAAGCATTTTAGATCTGTTATTATTTTATAATCTTCAAATCCTGTTATTGGCTGTTATTCATTTTTTTGTAGCATTTAAAAGGATCGGGAAGAAATCATTGACTTATTTCATTCTGAGTAATACAAATTGTATATTATATGAAACTAAAAGTATTAAATCTACTCCTGACATATATTCAATTTCGTAGCTGAAAAATGATAGTTGATAGGAAAAAAATTAACTCTTATAAACATAACTATACTGATAAATAATTTATTATTACAAAGTGGAAGAAACTGATCTGCTTTGAGAATATAACCTATATTGAGGAATTTGGGAAACTGGCTCATATTTATTAACGAATGAGGAAAGCTGCAGAAATGCTCATAAAACCGTTGCATTCTGTTGTCCATAGTTTTTCTCTATAAATATTTTATATGATGCAAAATTTAACATGGTTTTAACTTTTTGTGCATATGAAATTTAGCTGGCCTTTTAAAGTTTCATACAGGTATTAAGATAAAAGTTTTATCTATTTAAATGACTGCAACAAAGTACACAAGGGAAAAGATGCGTACATGGAAGACTTTCTAAAGGAAGCTTAGCTCATATTTACATCACGTACTATGATAGAAGATAAAAGTTTGGTCCTATATTAAGCTAGTGACATCTGTTAAAAGTTTGATCCTATATTAAGGCATAAATTAAGCGCATAAAGTGGATGAAAAGCACAATGATTACAATTCATCACCTTATCGACCAGTATTCTTTTTCAAAAAACATATTCCTTTATTTTGAAGTACTTAAATTTCTACTAAATATTTTTAAGTACTTAAATCATAAATTTCATAAGTATGTAAATGAATGCCTATGTGTCTTAAGTAATTAGCTTATTTTTTATTGTTAGTTGTATTGGTACCAATAATAATTGTTAGTTTAAAGAGAGCCCTAAATTAACAGGAATTTTATGTAAAATTTTATTTTGAATTTTTTTTTACAAAATTTGCACATATTTAAAGTTTTTCTATCATAATAATTATTGTTTATTATTTTTAAGAAATCAATAAATGACTTGTTAAGTTACAGACTAACAGGTACAGTACAAAGTCCGTAATCCGGACTTGTCAGGACTTCAGCGATTCCAGATTAGGGGTTTTTACGGATTATAGATCATCAATTTGAATCTGGTAAGATATCATGCAGAAATTATACAATTAAAAATATGAAACCATAATTTATGAAATAAAGAGCAATTATGATCTAAGGGGTAACAAAATTTACAAAAGAAAACAAGCTTAATATTTGTTTGTTTACTTTAGTAAACATTCTCTATCAATGTAAGTTTAATTTGTTTTGATTTTGTGCTAATAACTTTCTCTTTAATTCTATAAACAGACACAGTTTCTTGTTCACTTATAAACTTCCACTGTTCAAGTCCTGTAATTGTTGTGTCAAGAATACCGACTAACTTGTCAATCGAAATTTTTTCGTTTTCAATAACGTTCTCTGTTATTTTCTTCACTATCGGAAGCATGCATGTGTAAACGCTTTATGCGCATGCGTAAACGCATTACACGCATGCGTAAGTTTGTGGCTTTGAGGTCCGGATTATAGATCATTCCGGATAATGGACGCCCTGATTACTTTGTACTGTAGATATAATTAGTGAACATACAGAAATAAATCATGCTAATAGTACACCATGCTTTACTTAGCTGACAAATATGAGTAATTCAAAAATTTGAAAAGAAAATGAATAAACACTGTTCTTACTGTATAAAAAATGCTTATCTCACATTAAAATGTACATTTATATTAGAAGTTTCATAGCAAAATGTTTGACTGTTAACTTTTATAAAACATATATATATATATATATAATATTCCGAAATTCCTTCCCCCTCCCTCTCCGTTTAATATCGCTAAATCCCTAATTCTTTCCATTGGCTCTAATTTTTTGGTAATTAAGGTAATATTGTGGCTGACTAATATGACTGATAAAACTGATGATGTAAACCTTCATCAATAAATAAAAAATCCTGATTTGTTAAAATTTGCATCCTGTTATTTTCATTTCTGCTAAATCATTTATTAATTCCTTACAAATCCTTCATTTTCTCAGCTATCTGAACTTCCGTGCATAGCAGTCACAAACTTGAGTGAAATTAAATGTATAGCACATTAAAATTAAACTCTTTAATGCATTTCTTCTTCAAGCCATTTAATTTATAAACCATTAACTTCATAGCAACCATTTACTGAGTAAGACTGGATTATTTGGCATGTGAGGGCTGTCTACATAAGGGATAGAATGTTTTCATGGAGGACTTTCTATGGGAAATTGGCTAGTATCCATGTTATGCATCAAGAAAACACTAATTTCATTCCCAAATAGCCAGTCCGATCTAAGAAAGATTCATGTTTTGCTTTTGACCTCTGAATAGCGTGATCCAGCAAGATCGCATTTTATGCAAACCTGTTTCTGGAAAAACTGTAACAGTGAAAATTTTCTGTTAATTTTTTATTCATCAATTGCTTTATGTGTTAATTTCATTATGTAAAAACGAAGGTTGTGGCATCTGCTTCCCAAAATCCAGATACTCAAATTCATATTTTTGCTAAAAGAGCTTCTAAAAAAAGAACAAAGGAAATATGAAAACCACTGGGATGTCAAGTTGTAACAATAAATAGTGTCATCCAAAACAATATGGGAGAAATCAATTAATGCACTAATTCGCGATTTCAAGATTTGATATATTTTCTTGTAAGAAAAATATATTCAAATCATTTTTCTATTTAAATTTAACCAGTGAAATACGTAACCATATGTGTTTATGAAGCAAAAAATTTTATCATAACAAAAAATTAATGTAATAAATGAATATAACACAGTTCATTTTATAATATTTTGAGTTCCAGCCTTTTTATTTTAAGAGTAATTAATTTCTTTGTCATAATAATTTATAAAGCCCTATTTTTATAATGTTTAAAGAATTATTGTTAATTGTCATGCTCATACTTGGTAAGGGGAAGCTACCGAAACAGCCCTGCCGGAAGAAGGGTTAAGCTAACGACCTCTATCTGAACGTAGAGATGGGAAATCTGGCAACAGAGAGAAAAAAGCGTGGTTGATGGGTCGGCATGCTCGTGTGAAAGAACTTTGGCTTATTTTCTGTTTTTCTTTGGTTTTTTACAATTAAAATGTATTAGTCGTGCGTTTGATGTCATTTTCAAAAAAATATTTTGTGAAGAGATAATTTGTATTTCAAGAATGAAAATATAGCTTATTTTGTTATTGTTAAACATACATGAGTGTGCCATTTTATTTTTCGTGAGCAGAGTTGACAAATAATATTCATAAATGGATGGAAATGAACTGACAAAGTTGATTTGGGCAAGACTTAGGAATGATTGAAAGGAATAACTGTCATGATATTTTCTCCTGTGAATCAAAATAAAAAACATCGAACCTCTATGAGATGTGAAACAAAAATATTTTTAAAATCACAAAGTAACTTAATATCAAATAAAAATGTAATTACACCAAAAGTTGATTGTCTGTCAAAATTCAGAATATATAGCAAAATTTAGATTCAGAGAAACAAAGAGGGATTAGGTATTTCTATGATGAATAGTGGCATCTGAATTATTTTCCTATTTACAAATTGTTAGATTCAATTATTTTCTCACATTATTAGCAAAAAAAAAAATTTCTTATTACATTTCTCAAAGTGTTTAACTCTTAACGGAAACACATTTCCTAAGTTTCACAATTTTCAGGCTTGCATAAATCAGTCCGGAGCCCTACACACACCATTCTTTTGGAGCCCCAGTACCTATTTTCCTTTTGTTTATGAGGTAAAAGTAAGATTAGGACATGTTATAGAGGAATATATGAGCCCTAGACCCAGCTTTTGTGGCACTAAGCATAATTAGCCTTGACAAATGTAAAATAAAGGAACAAATCTTGCAGATTGTCATATTTTTGCTATGATTTGTTTCAACAGATTTCACACTGATTTATTTAGATTTCACTGCTCAATGTTTGGATCACTGGGACTAATTATACACTGAATAATTGTAAGAAAATGCTGTTTGTTCTTCATCAGAGACTGTAAAAAATTAGTGCATGAGAAACAATTTTATGATGTAACTAACCTTCTTTGATTTGATATTTTGATTGATTCATACAAATTTAAAGATGGTATGGATCAGTGCAACAACTGGCAGTGTTTCTATTACTCCTCAAAGGAGTAAAAGCTCGTTCCAAGTTGCGTTAAGTGTGCTATATCGCGAAAAAGTGCCGACTACGAGGTTAGATGGATCTCCAAATGAATCCGCTGTAACTATGGGTTCCCTCACGCTGTCATTTATAAGAAATGTCCTCAAAATCCTTTTTAACTTCAAGCAGAAAACTTCGGAAAATCTTAAGCTTCGCCCCTTCAGTGTGCTTCTAAACTATCCACTCATCCATATGATAACCATAATACTTCAGATGCTCATGAAGGAATTTCGCCCGCTCCTGACAATAATCCTCAACTGGAAACGAGTGTAGACTGTAGGTAACCTAGAAAAACTTCAGATACTGTGAATAACACTCAGAAATCTATACCCAAGGACAAGGCCTCTGAAAAGCCACAACTCAAATTCTAGTTCTGCTAGCAGACCCTTAGAAACCTATTCGAAAGTATCTCTGGAGCTTTCAGTGATTTCCTAAAAATTATTAAAAAGATTAATAGCCATATTTTGTTCAACATTTCATTTTTGATGTAATAAGAAAAATAGAAAAGCGAATGAAATTCGTGGAACTACTCTTATATGCGCCCTCAGGTCGCCAAATTTCTCGCCAAACATTTTTGTCGAGAAACTCCATGGTGCCATATTACTATCTAAATTTTTTGTTTACATTTCGAACTTTAAGCCTAAAATGTCTCCAAAAACCACGTTTTAAACACACAATTTAAGCTAAAATCCGAAACAAAAACAAAAA